CAAAATCACTTTATAAAAATCGAGTTACTTCCCTATACGAAAAGACTATGGTGAACAAATCACTTCATTGAAGTCACTCGGAAAAGGCATGTCGTCTTGGTTGCGAAGGAAATTACATAGATGTAAGCCAAGTTGATTAGCCGCTGTATTCAAAATGAACATATTTTCCGATTATTGATCAGTGAAAAACACTTTACTAGACATGAGTAAAAAATACACGGTACGTAATTACCATTTACCCTTCTGTTTGTAACAACTTAGGCTGATTGGTTATGAGTTGACCGCAAACATCTTAGTAAATTTCAGAACATTAAAACTCAGGCATTCATTCACACTCATATTTGTCTATGGATTATATTTACCAATATTTTACATTGGATTTTGAAAAGTTTGTGTGTTTGAAGGGGTGTCATAAAGGAACAAAGAATCTCTGACTGAGGTGAGTAGTGTGAGCAGTCTTTGCGTATGAATCTAATCGGTTATCTAGAATTTTTCGCTAACAGAGGAAGACAATTGGAAAGCTGGATGTAAAAATCGAGAAAATTCCCGTTGAGTACCATAAACTGAGACAATGTACCCTCGCAATAACAACCTTTTTTAATTGCTGACGATTCCGAATCAATAAATATGAATGATATATGAACTATGAAAATCTTTGGTATCCAAAGCAACCCTGCCTTTTTTCTCATCGCTAGTGCCGAATCAAAACTTGAAGTAGCTATTAGTAATTGTTTCTTGATATTGCCGCTAGGCTTTGTTACCATTTAACAACCACGTAGTACTGTTGATCGAAGCGATAAAACTAAGAACCAAATCAGTTGATAATCTGACTGCTAACTATTTCCACAAAAATTGTTGTTTCTCCACAGTTTTCTCTATTTAGCACTTACGGTTTCACAAATATTTTCTCCACCGGTTAGTTACTCAGTAAATGCAATGCGACTTTATAAGTTGGATCAGTAATAATAGTGATTTATTCTCAATTGACAGTTTGTTACATGAGGTATGCCAGTTTACAGGCAAGATCAAATTGCTACGAAAGATACATTTTTTACTGTAGAAAACCACTCAGCTAGGTTGGTATTTTATGATATATGAATGTAGATGGTTTTAGTAAGAATCGTAGTGTCAGTATCACAGTTGTCGCGCCCTATGAAGGTTGCGTTGCGACGTGCAACTGATGGTCGAGAATAGATCCATTGATGTTGGGGGCTTCTAGAAATCGCAACCTCATATCCCTCTGGATTATCTGAGGTTTTGATGATGGTGCAAGACGAAGTCATCCGTTTCATATCTGTTTTCGGTGTCATATCTCAAGGGGGCTGAAAAAGGGTTCAAGAAAAAGAAAGGACGAAAAGCAGAACAGACAATGTTCATAAAAGAATAGTTAAACCATAACTACTCAGTCTAATTCTCTTTTATTAAGATATTTATTAGGCAAGAGCATTTAAATATGTTAAAGGAAATAAGTATGACACTTAGGAAGAATAATGTATCTTTACCTTTAGAGAGGTGTGGGATCTGAAAGCGAGAGTTACGAGCATAAGGCCATGAATAATAAACAATGAATAATAGGAAAACACAAACCATAAGTTCTGCAATTTAGTTATATTCATATTAAAAATAAAAGGGTTCTGTATATTCTTGTACCATCTAGATATTAGGCGGTCCATAATAAAGTGCCTCATTGGTGGGCAGGAGTCCAAGGAAAACTTGAGGCTTTTTAAAGTTTAATAACACGGTTATTAGACTTTTGAATCTGATAAAAGTGTCACAGTTACGGATAAGTATTGGCAACCTGCTCCACAATAAACTATACCTTACTGTAAAAAACTTATAACGCATTTGTTTTTGGTGTTTTACGGTAAGCAGTATATATGCGTTGTTTATTAGTCTATAGGCTGGATCGTAGATCATAGTCAAGCAGGTTGGAAATGAAAGTTCATATATTGCTTTGTGGAGAAATATTAGATTGTTCCTTACTTGACGGCGCCATAAAGGTTCTAAAAAGAGGTTCTTTCATCTATCTGTGTGATCGAGAGTGGAGTCGTTTCTTAGCAGTTGGCGCCTTTGGATATCTTCTACTCTTATCTTGTCTGTGGTGCTCATATTAGAGAAGATGAAAGAACAGTATTCAAGGGAGGGCCGTACACATTTTGTAGAGAGTAAGCTTAGCGTCTGTTGTGAAGAAATGTTTCGTTATAAAACCAATTGGCTGTCTAAATTCAGAAATAATAGAGGAGGCATTTTCTCCAAAGTTTAGGCTTTCTGTGTAATTATTTCCTAAATCATGTACTGATTTGGGTGTCTGGACTCTACATTCATTCAGGTAAAGTTACAGTTCATAGGGATGCCTTCCAAAGTGCATAACCCCGCACTTGTTGGGGTTAAATGGTAATTGCCATTTTTCGCTCCAGATTGAGGTCATTTTGAATCAGGGATACACTTACACTTAGAGTCTCAGGCTTATGGCTGTATGTTATTTTGAGATCATCACCACATAATTATGGTTTCCCGAATTTAATGGTGTTAGATATATCATGAGTGGATACTCTGTGTGAAACATTCCCTGTAACAGTCAGTCAGCTTAGATCAAACGCTTCTTGACATATCGGTATATCTGTAGAATTATGGTCTACTATGATATTAGTACTGCGCTAATAATAGAACTAATCCCAATATTGTAGACTTGTCATGATATAACTGCCTAATCTATAAGATCTTACGTAGAAGTCATACCATCGTCTACACCAACTCATCGTATCGTAACAATCACCAGTCCATGATGTAGAACAAGCTTAGGTTAGAGATAGGACAATATATTTAATATGAATTAAGGATATGAGGGAACATTCAGCAGGGACCACGCCTGCATGGCCGAGCTATGCCATCGAATCAACTCCAATTAATTAAATTCCTTGTTCCCGCCTTCTCCATCGTTGGTTATTTCTCCGCGTTAAATATTGAATATCCATTTTCCGAGTAGTCTCGTGTCCAATTTTGAGGATTGTGGGGTTATGGTCCAATGCCACTACATATCTTTGCATTCATTCATTCTCGACTTCTGATTTAACCGGTTTGTTATACTTCGATTATAAAGGTGTTAAGTGTAAAGACGTTGTCAAGCTCCGAATACATATAAATTATTTACAACGACGAGAGCAAATCTTCAACACGCCTTATGGCCATGAGAGTGTTGGATGCTAACAATGGGCGACTACTGGGATAAAGTGAGGCACATTATTCAGGAAGCTAATCTGCAAAACGTACCTCAAGCAAAATAAACCCATGCGAAAAGATCTTGGCCTAAACGAGGCACAGAACTATCGGTAAGACACAGTCTGCTATAGACTAGAGGTATGACTGTCAGTACTATAACGAGAAACGGAAATGAATACGTGGGAAAGTAACTTCCTTCATAATGCGCAGCTCATGTTCGGGACAAAAAAGTCCTACACGTTTTCAAGGAACAGTTGGACAGCTTGTCGAAGCCTAAAATAAAAGGTCAGTGTTATATCCCTCGAATTCACGAAAGCGTTTCAGGTGGTATTGCGCACAATTCCTATGGCGAAGATAGAACTGTGGGTTTTACTGACTTACCAAGACCACCTAGAAGTCAGGATGCTCCGCACTAAGGTAAATAGATTTCGCAGGTGCCGGAGGTTTAAACACCAGAAGTTCCACAGGGGACCAACTTAAGAACACTTCTCTTCTGAATATTTTCCAATGACCTTCTAGGTAATATTAGTTCAGATGTAGTAATATATGATGGCGGATCAAGGATATTGAAGTCCATAAGAAACAAGAAAGATTCGCCTGAGCTCCGAAAGGACTGCTCAGTAGAAGAACAGGTAGTAGACAGTGAGTCACAAGCTAACCTTTCAAAATGTCATGACATTAAGTCCCTGGGACACAAATAACTTACATCTACTAAAATCCGTTCCTGACTGTCTCCTCAGAGCAAGATCAATTGCTAGTAATCACAAAGAGATTAAATACTTGTCAAAACTACTATGAGGAAGCAGTAAAGCAAATGCAACTTCCTCATGCAAAGATAACTTGGCGTAATCACTCCAGAAGTGTTTCTGACACTTTAAAGTATACTCATGATCTCACGCTGCTGTCCACAACATTTTTGAAATACAGAGACGGGTGACTGAGTAGATGATACAACTAAGAAACAAGTCTTACGAAATACGCTTCGAAAATTGAAGTTATTCTTACAATAGAAGAAGCGATCTGATAATAATCCACGACATACTAAGTACGTCAAGTCACCCGAACATTTTCCGCTTGGTCTAGTCGTGTTTTAAGAATGTTACGTAAATTACTTTTGTCATTATCATATATCACTAACTCATTTTTACATCAGTTTCTATCATATACGCTTTCCTTTTTAAGCTTAAATTATTATCTACTCACACTACACCACTAATCAATTGACTTGTTTATTAATTTATCTTTTGAAACAATAGTCTTCTCCTAGTACTCTAATTCTTGCCTTGAAATGTTTCACATTAAGGCCAACTAGTCAACTTTCTGGCGGGTGACAGCTGCTTGTTAAAAAACTTCACTGCTCTAACACGAATGCAATCACTCAGATTACAAGATATGCAAGCCTATAAATAACTACTAAGCGAAATAGGATTGGTGAAATAAATTGGCTAAACGTCGCCTATTAGACATCGTAAAAGAAGCGAAACCATGCCGAAACAACAAAAGACAAGCGTAAATATGTCGGTCAATGAAAGATCGTCAAAAGGATATTGGATACATTTGATAAAGTTCAATTACTGGGTTTCTTCAAGGTTCTCATCATCATGTTTTTGGAAAGGACCAGGTGATTCACTATAAATAAATCAACTGAAAATTATCATCTGAAAGACAAATTTTATTTTCAAAGTTACCTACAGTTTCATTGTGGATATCTGGTGATTAGTGTTTGAAATCACCAGTTTCACTAACATGCAACCTTCAAAAATTTCCATAATTACAAAGTCATGGCTGACATCTTGTTCGTTAGTAATCTAGCCGTGAAAGCCGGGAAGGTACGCTACTCTTATACTTATTTCTAAAACTAAAAGATGATTGAAGCTGGCTTCTCAAAAAGTATTCCGTATGACAAGAAAGAATCATATGCTGACTTGGTAACTGAAGTGGATAAAGCTGTCGAGAATTATATCTGTCAAGAAATCCTTTCATCGTTCCCTACTCACAAGTAAAAGTGTTTATTTTGTTCCGTCTTATATTTAGAATTATTGCAGAGGAAGGGTATTCTGGAAACGCCGAGCTTACTTGTTCGCCTACATGGATAATCGACCCGATTGATGGAACCTCAAACTTTGTTAGCAGGTAATATCACCTTCAAGTAATTCCCAGGTTCCCTTTTGTTTGCGTTTCAATTGCTTACTATGTTAACAAAGAGGTTAGTTAATGTACATGCTTTTTCAGATTCACAGCCCGAGCTAGCTGTTGTTTATAATCCGATATTGAAATGGCTGTTTCATGGAATTCGTAATCAAGGAGCATTTCTGAATGACAAACAAATTCATACATCAAAACTTCAGGGTAAGAGTATGTTTCAGTGGAAGTTGTCAGTAACAGCAAGTATCTGTATTGAATGAGTACGAATGTAGTTGTCAAGTGACTCTCGATATGATCCTTCATTGTCAGATAGTAAATGTATCACTCGATATATACAGGCACCCTCGTTATTCAGTATGAGTCAGTGGGAGATTTTTAGACTCAGGAAAGCTGAATCAAGGACTAGAACCACTTTGAATCTTGAATACATCAAGATATAAATTATATCTACCTTTCAGATCATATTGTGTTCACATGGAATTTGGTGGAATATTATTTCAGAATGACAAGTGTTTATATATTTGATCGCGAAAAGATCACGGTAAATCATGCCACTGTATCTTACCTGACAAAGACATCCAACAATGGTTGAGATATAATGTAGAAAATAATGTATAAAACAATGTGAATATCTGGCTCAACGCAGACGGGTTGTCTGTGAAACTTATTTTTCTTGACTATCACAAAAGAGTACCAATGCGACCCTTGATACCATTAATATGTATGAATTCTCAGTGGTATGACGTCTTTTGAAGCAAGTTTTTGATAGGCTTCTTTTTTTTAGATCTGTCTCAGGCTTTGGTTTTGACCGACTGGGGAGGTGACCGGAATCCAAGTGTTTTAGATATTAAGTCAAACAATATTCGCCAAATAATATCGAAAGCTCGTGGGTAAGCCGTCCGTCTTATGACGAATTTTTTGATACTTAATCATTTTTTGTTGTATCGAGACTGTAAATTATGGACGAACCACTCAGATTTAGGATAACAGGTCTCGGATTTTGGCGCGGACTTCATTCGCCCAGTTGTGTCAATAGCGTTTTTGCATTTTAGCTGATCTCAGTTCGTGATGAAAACCGTAAATCTAATTCCTAATCATAACTATCAATTGTACATCGTAATCCTTATTCTTCACACTGCTTTATAACCATCATTTAGCACTATTATGTAGCCGAACATTCCCAAGTTCATTTTAGCACCGCCCAAAAGTCCATAAATTAGTCTCACCGTCGTTGATAACTTAGGTTGGAACAAGTTACAATAACACAACTATGTTAGTGCTTTGTCTTTAAATCGTAGACAGCTTCCATTTATACTTATTAATGTTCTGTCTAGTGATAACAATTTTTGGCGAGAATATAATTTATGGATGAATCAATCAGATATAAGATGACGAGTCTTGGGTTTTGGCGCGAAATTCATTCATACATTTGACTAAGTAGCGTTCTGCATTTTAGCTGATGTCAGTTCGTGGCTGAAGCCGTAAATGTAATAACTAGCCCTAACCATCAACTCTGGATCGTTATTCTAATTCTTCACACTGTTTTGTAACCCTCATTTAGTCCTAGTTATTAGGTGGACATCTTCAAGGTCACTTTAGCGTCTCACACGGGTCGTTCATAATTTATAAATTCACCTAATTTCCTAGTATTTCTAAATCTCATTTCTTGATACTCGTTATGAAGCAAGATAATAGTGATAACCCTAACGACAACATCGATACCGTACATAACGACTCTATTTTAGGCCCAGATACACCAAATGATGAATCTTGTTCACAAAGACTTATTAGGAAAAACCAAAGATTGATTTGTATCAAAGTCAATCCAGTGATTTATTAATTTAATGATTATTCAGTGACCATTAACTGAGTAATTATCACTGAATACAAAACCAGTTAAGTAATCTGTACAGGGAAATGTATTTAAAATCAAATGAGTAACTACATCTTAAATCTAATAAACAGAATTTCCTACGAATAATTTGATATGACTTAACAGTGTTGACTGAAGATCGCCTTAGTTTTACTTGCGAAATCAAGGTAGGTTTTCTTTCTCATAAGCTGTATTCGGGCAAATAGAATCCCCAATGATTATCTATAAATTTGAGTAGTCTAAAATGTGACTAGTGCACTTTTCTGTGGCTTTGATATAGTTTGCCAGTTTTCAGCAGATTCACACAACTTCTGCTCAAGCAATAATTCAGTCATCCGCTTCTTTATGCATTACTGCTTTGTAGTTGGTGGAGCAACTAGACTTAAGCACTTCAATAATTGATGCTGAGACTAAATAGTCTCAGATATACAAATGGTTATAGTGATAAGTTCATTTTACTCTGCATTTTCCTTCCTGATTGGTTTTAATCTCAGCAAAGCATGTGTAGTTGTTGCAGTAGTTATGTCCACCAAATATGCTAACTGAGGTTTCGTGTTAGTACTAAAAATAGGTGTTAATTGGCTATAAATGTTGCAGAGGGAAAACACTAGGAAACATAAAGTAGGTAGGTATTGCAAACCATAGCTTGAAATAAATATACAAAATCAGTCTTGATAAATGTAAACAGTAAAGGTATAAATAAAACAATTTTTGTCATAGTTAATCGATACGACATACTGAGTGTAGTCAAGTACTGATTCACTAATATCATTATTCAAGTAATTTGAAGTATCTATCTTATGAATCACTGAATTCGAACTTTCTGGAGATCGAAGTACTGACCATACGGGCAACTAAAATAAACAATTCAAACCCAACTGATAACAAATCCAAGCAATCTCGAATAATTGACAATTATCAAGATGAAACTGTGGTCCAAATAATGATTATCAAAAGATAATATACTCATCAGTTATAAATTTATGCCGTTTTCATAGTCATTAGGGACTTATGCTTACCAGTCTTTATAATGTTCATATTATACTATCATTGTTCACAATCATTTAAGTTGTATGAACATAAAAATCAGTAGTATAGCAAACGTTTTTTTAGAGTATTACCCTAAATGCCACCATCAGTGACAGAAGTTGAATTGTTCAGTCTTGAATTACTATCGGTTTATGCTAGAATATGGTGGTATCATATCTGACTTTAACTTATTCAACTACATTGAGTGTTGTTTCGTCCAGTTACATTAAATTGATTCTAGAACAACGTTTTTGATATAAGTCACCAAAAAATGAACTGTTTGAGACGAAAAACGATATTGCTAATCGGTAAAAGAGATTATAAGAAGTAAGAAATGACGAAGTCCAAGTAAAAATAAAAAAGTTTTCATTCTGTTCGAAGCCGTATTTAAATTTTAAGGATAATAAATGTAGAATTTAATTTGTCCTACAGATATTCTACTAGAACTGTAAACGCGATACTGGCGACCCCAGAGTCTATGTGAAAGCTATAGTCAGAACAAGGACAACGTTATGTTTCTAAATGTAAAAATAATCCGATTAGTATAATAATTAAAGGAATTATAGTCATTAAGTGAAACACCTAAACATGCCGACCAGTATTGCGTGTCTTATCGAAATGAATAAAAATCATGAGTCACAATAATTTAATAGGATAATAATTTCCTTCATTTGGTAGGTCACATGCAACAGGGATATTCTACAGACACATTAGGCCAGATAGGCATTTAAGCAAAAAATTGATTGGTTGGTCATGGATATAACTAACAACAGAGTTGTCACCAGGGTCTATTCTAATTCGTGCTCGACATTCTAATTTCTTGATCAAGGTCCCAGGAAAAGCGTCAAAAAGTGTAAGTCATACAGACTCCAAATGCCTTGGTACGGCAAAGAGTGGGGAGAGTCCCCTCCCTCTCGAAATGCTCGCACATGGCCACGCGTATATAGCCTCTGCCAGGGAAGTCCTACTACTACCTTCTCGTGGCGGGTGTGTTGTTTACGAAATTGAGAGGACGAAAAGCGAATGCCTGGTGCTTTAACCGGGTTGGTGGAAAGGGAGAGTCTACTTAGGGGAGTTGGAAAACTGATTCAAAACCAATGGTGCACATGGGCTCCAATATCCTAAAGGAACAAATGGTGTATGAACCAATCGTTGGTCACCGGCTACCATGCGACTGCATCTCCTTACGTTGCTCCACTGCCTTGTGGACCAGACCTTCAGGTCCAAGGCTCCGGGTGTGGTCCCCCGAGAGAACCACCTGCTTCAGTTTGAGCACCCGCGCAGTATCACAGCCCTCGCACATATCAAATGAGATTTGTGTGGCGCATATGTATTTGGTGCCTCCTTGTACCAATATCTATGTGTTAAAATAAATAAATAAATAGATAATAACATTTATTCAGTTTTTATCCACGACTATACACTTAGAAATAGCACTTCATCCGCCTGACATTCAAGGGTTAACCTACTATTTGACTCATTAATTACTTTAGTGTCCAGTTAATGTAGTTCTGTTTGCTGAAGATGCCGACAATATATGGTGTTCTGAACAGTTTGAGTAACAATACACGAATGCTTGAGACGGGTCACTTTACTTCTTAGTGCAAACTGTTTCAGGACCGCTCTGAATCCAACCCTAGTGTGACCATCGGGTGAAGAGTAAGCAAATTTAGATTGGCTTTCGCACCTATGGGGTAGGAGAGATGCCTATCTACTTGTTAAAGGGCGAGTATACTATGTAGGAGTTTGCTGGGTTTTACTCTATGATTATGAAGTATGGCTTTCAAGAGTAGAATACATTTCTACACTACTGATATTCGATCATAGAGGTCTTCGTGTGTGGTAAAACAACTCACTAAGTAAATATGGCAAGTCAGCTGATGAGGCTGTGAATATTCTTCAACTGAGGTGACTAGAATGTGTTACATATGCCAAACCAATGACTACCTCGACACGCGATGGTGTTTGGTGTAGGGGCGATCAAAGCAATACATGTCATCAGCCTACAAAGTCATTGAGTGTTGGTCCGAAGTATGTGAGTAGATACAAAATACGTGGCTGGAATGCGCCTGACAATCGTAATTGGTGGTTGGAGTGGCACATATGGGTTCACTTTTTATCTCGTGTTAATATCATTTCGCGCAAATTGTCATTATTCTTAAGCACGTCCCCTATAGTTAGTCATCTCTCCGTTTATGTAACTTGGAAACGTAGGGTGAGTCAGTTCTTACTCTGGCAATGGCTTACCGACTAGATTTCAGAGATATCTTAGAGAATAGGCGAAGTCATGGTCGTAGAGCAGACATTAAAGGTTCTTTGGAACCAAGAATAATGAGTGGATATTTTGGAGAGGAAACAACTCAAAGAACAGAAACGAGGATAGTTCAGTTGTTTATAGCAAACTGTTAAGTAGATGGTTTCCTTACTAATCAGAACTAATAGTTTGCATGAGAAATTTTAAATGGACCAACATTTCAGTAGTTGATGTTGAAACAGAACATCTACTATCCCCGTAAACAGGTTATTTAAGTGGGCCAAATTAATGTCGTAAATAAATGATAAAATTGGTGAGTGACAGCATCCATATTTTTCTAAATGTAAACCAGTTTATTTACCAATGAAATATCTTTCAGTTTGTATCAAAAGTAATTCCCAAGAATAATTTAACTAAATTATGATAAATCGTACTTTTTTGAGAAATCACCGTCCGAATGAACTTGTGCCCAAAATCCACATATAAGTATAAGAAAATAAGCATTTACGGTTGACATGGTATCCTCAAACTAAAGAATGCTGCCCGCTAATAATTCACTGAGAGAATTCTGAGCACTTAAATTTTAACGTATAATCTATAATTATGTCGATCCTTCGATATACTATTCCACTGAAAATTCATTAACTTATAAGAGATAAAATCACATTTTGTCACTACATAATCCACAGGTATTCAATGAATAAATACCGAATTTGATTTGCCTATGTAATTTTTAACATTACACTAAGAAACTGATATCGTGATTCCTGAGACCTCACGAGTCAAAGATCACAAATGACTAAGAATCACTGATTTAAACTAGATAGCATAAAAGTCTAGATATTTCTAAAATATTCACTGATTAGGTAGTGAGGAATCCTATATTAATTATTTATGTATTTACCATCAGTTAGTCATCAATACACTTATTAATACTGCTTTCATCTCTGTGTTTATGTAACTTCGAAACATCAGTGAGCCAGTTCCTACTCAAGTAATGCCTTACTGACTGGATTTAAAAGATTTATTTTCTCGTCGCTTAGAGAATAGGCGAAATCAAGATTATGAGGCAGACACTATAGATCACTAAATGTTCGTTGGAACTAGGAATGACAGACAATCAACTTCAATATATTTTTGTGTCTCTCGTCAGTGGGTCCTGCATAGCGACTTACTTTAAAGCTTTTGCAAATTCTTTTCTACTTACAGCTTATACTTTAAACTCATTCCAAATGGGCGATTTGGACTAGAAATCCACCATAGTTTTACGTGTTTTATGCAATGGCATGAGATCAGAATACATTAGTGAAACATGGAGTACATACAACTTTAAATTTGTCTGATACAAATAATTCAAATTTTAAGGTTAATACAATGTACCCTTGAACAAACCACTCAGAGTAATCAGTCCCACAAAGCGTTTTAATAACAAATGAACCAATAACAATACTATATGATTTTAGTAGTCAGTCCACTTTATATTAAACAACTTTTAATTCGATCTCATATCCTTTTATAATTGTTTTCGGGATTCCAAATAAATTGATAAATGTACTAGGATGTCACAAAACTATCTATCTGAGACTTTACTTCTAAAACTGCATGGTCCAAGATTTATAATACTGTTGTTATTACGCCAAACTCGCAATTCACCCGTTATTGTGTTCTGCGATTTCGTTTCCAAAAATTATGTGGCGTCGGACATGAACAGTACTTTTTGATTTTGTTTGTAATCTCACTACATTTCTCAAGCTTTTTTTTTAATCCCAATGTGCTGTGAGAGACGCAGTATAATCTGGGGTTATTATTTTATTATGAAAGCAATGTACGATGTAAATTTATTCAACTTATAGACAGAACATTTGTTTAGAGTTGCATTGATTTTGGAGTTGCTTCCCAAAATATCGTTTTTACCGAGAATGATCGTGAAAATATATAAATTTAGATGATTTTGGTGGTAATTGTACTATATCACAGATTTGTCTCAAATAGGGGTTGTTAACCACTGCATTCCTACTTGATGGATCAACGTTATTGTCCTCGACACCAGAATTGATAGTCCTGTATCATGAGTGTGCACTACTGAAAAATGCTGTGCAGACGACAAAACATTTGTCTAATACTCCATAGCTTTCGACAGTTTTCCAACTGATATCAGTTCCTGATTAAATCTTTTTAATAACCATTTTTGGCAGTAATTTTCGAAATCGCGTTGTAAATACTACATGTGTTTAAGTGGATAAAAACCCAGTATGATGGGATTACACAGTAGTTTTAAAAACATTGCATTAGGTTCGCTTTAGTCTCAGGAACTTGTGTAAACAGTTCTTTGTAGCATACAGGACGTTAAAACTCAATCGAATCATATGGATAGTGATTTTTGTCACAAATCACGGAAGTTTTTAGAATCATATTGAAATATCTTACCATCCTTTATTTACTGTTTTATTTATATCAGTATTAATTGCCAATATTGCGCCTGTAGTGTGAAATCCAGGAGCTTTTCAAGTTACGAAAGTCTGGAAATCATGTCAGATCATTCAGCTTAATTTTTTTCAAAAATTAGCATTGCCGAAATTAGTTGTTGGTATTTCAAACATAAAACTATTGTTTGAAAGTTATTTGGTTGAGTAATTTTTTATTTTGCAACTTAGAGTGCGCACCATGGGTTCAGCAGCTTTGCATATGTGTCAGATTGCTGCCGGTAATGGTGATATATTTTTCGAATTTGGAATTCACTGTTGGGATTATGCCGCAGCTGTATTGATTGTTCGTGAAGCAGGAGGTTTTTGTTGTAATTTTGACGGTACGTTATGTGGTTTAAAGTTTTTGGTTTCGTTTCTTCAACAAATCGAGCTTATACATTTGTATTATGCCGAAAAATAAGTTTTCAGAATTCGGTAATAAACTACTGTGTAATTAGGCAAATAACTTCCTTTTGTGATTGTAATTATTTGGTGAGAATAAAGAATGTGGATCAGAATTCCAATTCTTAATCCATTGACTTAAGTTACATACCGTGATTGAGTACTAGTTTATTTATCATCGTCTTATGAATGATTTATTGTTTGAAAAGAACTTATTTTTGACAATTAAGTTGTAATTTTGTACACAAACATCTCAACTCTAACAATCACGTTAGTGGTATTCAACTGGTTGTATGGGAGCTCGCTGACAATTTTTTGGGTTAATTGCTCCACTGAGTAAAACAAAAGTTTTAAGTGAATTATGCGCGTTTAATTTGTGTTTTCGGCACGCTACTTGTCTATCCGAATAAGAAATTATTGTTATTCACATAAGAGAAAAGGAAGTCTAGAATTTATGTATTTTCCTGAGTTCCAACATTTTTATTTATATTTCACATGAATATTTAAGTATAATTCGTAATAGTGATGATCACAGTTTAAATCTATGGTGTCTACTTTTATTCCTCCAATTTTTATTCATGAATACTCAGGCTGATAAATCTTTCTGTTTGTAAACGAAAGTGAAATTTCATACGAATTTTCCACTTCTGCCATTTGAGTGACTCATATTGTGATCCTGTCCTGTCTCAAAATTCAAAATTGCTTTCGGTAATAACTAAAGGTAAGGTAAATGAAGGAATTATGAACATGATATGTTCATTGTGTATATCTTAATCCTAGTAAGAAGTATATTAAGTGAACAACATTTCTAGTTTGAGATTTGTTAATGAATAAATTATGATGAAAGCTTCTGGCAAGCTTGCAACAATAATATTGATTTTAAGTCTTAACATTTTTCGTTACGTCCATCTTATACGGTTCCACCATCCGCTGTACAGTGAAAGTCCCAATATTTCCGAATGTTTATCAATCTGATTTGTAAATACTAAATTATAAACGATGTAAATAATAATCATATTTTATAATAATGCATATTTACGTATTGAATGTGTCATTTTCGTTTGTTTCAATATGAAATATTTATCAGCCAAGCAAAATTATGCCGATTGTCGAGGTGTCTTTTGAAACTGTAAGGTTACGCAGCATGTAGTTCCTTTGAATCTCCTCATTTAAACGGAATTCTGACTTGTGACTTAGCTCAATGTAAGTCAGTAACACGTATTTTGTAAAGTCTAGTATCTTGACATTTTGTACGCTAAATGGCATTGACATAATTACCATACGATATCGGATTCGGTAGCTGTACTACCAAAACAATTAACTATGCATTGATGATTTAATATTACTCTTTTCTTAGTTCTATCATGTAAGTGTAACTAATGACTTAATTTACGTTGTTCCAAAAATGACCGATTTCTAGGCTCACTTTTGATGTTAATTACACAAAGATTCTGGAAAATAGTAGTACCTAAATGATTCCTTTTCATTTTGATCTTTAGTACTAATAATTGAACCGAAAGACTTCTTACATGATGAATATGTGAGTCAAAGGTAAACTTTAGAAAGCGACGTCATTTTGTGGTTTCTACAAGTCTACAGGAAAGAATAACTACATTGTAGGAACAATAACTTCTTGTTTAAACCACAAAATCGGACTATTGATAGTGACTGGACGACTTACCGGTGGTAAACTCAACTTGATCTTATAAATGGTTGGTGATGGAATGTTCATATTCTAATCGAGTTTGTAACAAACGCATATCGATACACTTTATTCGAAAAAAATTACAGCTAGTTTCACTTTAGAAAATATTTATTTGTGATGGCTTTGAACACCAGTGAATGTATTATCTTTGCAAATTTTTATTTTCTCAAGCTTAGTTGTAATTTGGCGTTTTTAATGGATACAAAGCTATTTCGTTAATTCCACGTTATCATATCCATCCAGTGTTGTAGAGTTCAGTCTGAAATTTCATCTATAAATCTTTGAATACAACCATTCCTTTTATTTCGGTTCTGGTCGTGATAACTTCAACATCAGTTTACATAAATTTATTCAAAAAGGCAACATGGACATCCAGTTGTTACTATCCGCCTAGAAAATAAGTTTTATATGTGCAAACTTTTATCCTCCTCGTAATTGTATGTGTCAGTTGTATTTGTGAACGAGCAACCAAACTGAATTACTGTGTCATAACAATTCAGTAATGTTACATATTTTCTTTTTAAATTTTGTTTAGGTAAACCTGTAGATTTAATGGCGAGAAATGTTATATGTGCGGGAACTCCAGAACTAGCTAACGCTCTTATTCCTCTTATTCAACCAGTTGGTTACGCGAGAGACTGATAGAAGAAGCAGAATCACACAAATATATCTATTGAGGAAAAAGGAGCCAGAGACAATCAAAATTTAGAATTTTTCATTTATTTGTTGATTCTTTTAATCTGTTGGCTAGTTTTTTCCATGTGTTTATTTACGTTCGAAAAGGTTCAATGAAAGTTGTACCTTTGGTTTTAGAAATGCCGTTGTGATTCCTTCCTTACTTCTTCAATGCAGCATTTATTTTCACTTGTATGTGTGTATGTCTATTTATCTATTGAGTGTTTATCGAAAAAAAAGAAGAAATATGTGCATAGATGAAAGAACTCAAAGAGCTGTTATATTACAATAATTAGTAGTGTTTAGTTTTAAATGGTTTTCCCACTTTCCTTTCTACTAAAATCGGATTATTTTTTCTCACAGCTCAGAAGTTGGTTACTATTTTCCTATTGATACACGCCTTTTTCCGTTCCTGTTGAGTTTTTTCTCAAGAAGTGTTTTTAAAAGCGGTCTCCTCTTTGGATGACAAACCAGTCACATTTTAGAATACAACTATGCTTGTTTCTTGTGTTTGACTAGATGGCGTCTCGCTTGAATTTTCAAACAAATTTGGATAAACCATAAGACACGAAAGTGTGAAGTCAAGTTAGTAGTATGTCTAATTGTTTCCCATGACTGCGTAATGCTTATTACCTTTTTTTAATATCTCTAAACTTTAATAGGGAGAAATCTCAAATTTAGTTCTAAATTATCATTGTTAGGTTTATATTTTGAAGCAATCAGCCATAGTGAATATCGGTGCACTCTTTTCACTATACTTCAACTATTGACATTATTAGATTTGTTGTGTAGTAAGCTTGCATGTTTTGATGTGTACTTTAGTGAGTCAGTACGGGTTTATTTAATTCCTATGACTCCCGCATAAGAAGTTCAACCAATAGCCAGTGATATGCATTAGTGTTTCAAAATATGTATATGTTAATCTAATTGGTTTGAGCAGGCTTTAACTATTTTCTGAAGAGAACTCACATGTCATACTAGAGGGTCCTAATAGTCATTAAAATGTTGTATTAAGGGATTAAATATTTCATTTATTAGAAATTTTATAAATCAGTCAGTGCCCCTTCACTCGAAGAGATTGGAAACTTTCAATCACTTTCTAAAAGAAATTTGCTTTCGAGGTGTGTATTGTCGCCTTGAAAGACCTGCGAAAAAGTAGTGAACGTTGCATCAAACTAGGCAGTAGAGTCAATGGGTCACAAAAATCCACAATATTTGCTTAGGTTTTCCACTTACGAAATTCTACAAACATCTCGGGATAAATTTTATGTTAATTTAAATTCGTTAACCTTTGAAAAGTTTTTCTGAACTTGGTGCTCATAAGGTAAAATTTTGTTATTCAGTCAAGTCTTACATAAACTAAGTATTGGATAGGGTTAAATATTTAATCTATTCACTATTTAGCTTTCATAGAGAGTTAATCCGGCTCTAAGTGCTTACTTGACATGATTATAAAAAGCTTATCCAAATCTTTATTTAAAAAAAACAATTTTGCTGTTCACTGTCTGGTGCGTAGCAAAACACTGGTAAAACAATGCTTGTCTTGCTATTGAGAGTTGAAAGGAATGAATCTTTTTCCGCCGGGTCAGTTGACACATGTGTGTGTGCCTGCCTAAGAGCTGTACACTATTTGGAGCAAAGCTAAAATAGATTGAGCTCCTGATTGCTAGGATTGACGTTCGTCTCAGTCCTATATAGGGCTTCTTTGTGCCTGGGTATCCGTGAGTCAAACAATCAATGCATAGAAGCGAACGAGCTCAATAGTTTCTTTTTCAATTTTGGCTTCAAAGTATTTCTTCTGATGTTTTCTATCCTCTTGACAACTTACTTTCAGTGTGTTTTAGTGAAAACAGTTCAAGATAACGAGTCTTAGGTGATTGTATATTCTTTTTGTTCTAATAGTGATGTCTAATGATCACTAAGTCATTTTCTTGTGATTGATCTCACAGCTTGTTACAACCACAAAAATCTTTTAAAAATGGTACTGAGACGAACTTCAGAAGTCCCTGTGATAATTTGAAGTATTTGAATTATTATACAAACTAGAAATCTCAGAAACAACACAATTAAGGCCAAATGGAACTAAGTGAGCATAAAGGAACGTATTGTATTTTGAATTCGAAATCGGACAGTCACCGAGTACAAAGGAATCATTGGTTCACACGAATGCTGCAATTCCCCATTTATATTAGCGACCAGGAGCTATTATGCTGAAACGCAGCAATTGGGATGAAGAGAAGCTCCTTAAAATTCTGATTATTCACTGTTATCGGCATCTCAAGGTTTGCTAAAAGATGTTATGTTGACGTATCATATTCCTACTAACATAGGTCAGTACAAATCCACTTATGCAAAGAAATTCGCCATCAAGGCCTTGCGGATCACTAAAAGGGAGCTATACAGTGATCTCGATATTTCTCTAGAATCAGAAATTGTTCGAATAGGATAGGTTAAGTGGTCCAGTTCTTGTTAGTATAAACGTAGTCATTTTTATGTATAACAAAAGTGCTCAGGTATGTAGAATATCTAGTAATGTCTATGCTGTTGCACTTCAATAATATATTGAACATATTCTACCATTTTAAAATGCTTGACATAGCATTTTAAGCTGAATTAATAATAAATTGGAAAATATATGAAGATCTATTAGTTCTGTACATCTGATTGTTACTCATCTATGATGTCTGCTAATTACCAAAAGTTAACAACTAGTTCTACGTAGTCCAATAAATCGCAGCAAAACAGGTGAAAACAATTTTATTCTCATATCACTCAAATGCCGAATTATTAGATCATAAATTTCCTAAACATAATTGTAAAAATCATTTGATACTTAACTAAAGCCAACATACATCAACAATGGTCTTCATTCAGTGCAGAGGTATGAGTGCTCTTTATCTTATCTATATAATCCAACTTCTGGGATGGCTGGTAATTTTGATACTTAGCGATTATTGCGAGCTAATAACTCTTCTAGTGTTCTTGAAACCCATAATATTGTAGGCATACATGACCCTGGAATAAACAGTCTTTATTAGTATTGTGTTAAAGATACTAACTATTCGATATGTGTGAGTTACATAAACTGAACACACTAAAAGAAGTAACCATAGGATTTGGTTTTCACCATTCAAATTGTTATTCGCTTTCCAATCACAGGTTTGTACTTATTTTTGGGAAGCTTAGTAGTGTCACTACTAAGTCTTAGGCTCGAACTCGCTCACGTACTTTGTCTAGTTAACCAGGTAATATCTTTAGCTCTAATAACTAGAGTATAGCTCACACCCAAGTTCACAGTGAATGAAACAGTTGTTTATCCTACCTATTTGTGGGCCATTAACACTATCCATTTAGCTTTCATAATTGTAATTAACGTTACAGGGTACATAAGACGCAACCTTTATCTACACCTTTGAATCCTATGTTTAACGTACTCATTGTCCATTAAAATTCAGGTTCACATATCTTAAATTAGAAGGGAATTAGCCAGATAACATTTAATACTTATAAAATCTACTACTTCACTTAATCCGGGCTTTGGATAAAGGAGGGATGATAAGAAACCAAAATTCATTTTAGATGAATAAAACTTATCACACTATTGAGGTGTATGATAAAATATATCGCTGACTATCGGATAATGCTCTTAAAAACAGTCCATACAGTATGTAGTAAATGATTACCTTGACAAAGTACATGACCGAACATGCTGCATGTCATTGAAAGAAGATTGAATATAAGGAAAATCAAATATGTTAAACGAAAATGGATTAACAGTAGCATTAATGACTAAATCTAAAAAAGAAGATTTTGGTAGAATGTGGAAATATTATTTCACTCAATGCTACATTATTTAAATATTTTATTTATAAACCATTTTTATGCTTATGGCTTTCAAACAAATAGGCTTCAAAATTAAGAGTTAAAACGATAATTTTATTTGATTTTGATATTATGTGAAATATCATAATCCTACAGATGTTTATGGGAGAGGCGTTAAATTAACTTGGGCAATCAACTGCAATGTACCTTATTTATCCACGTTACCAAAGAAAGAGTGGTTGAGACTGTAGTCGAATTGGGATTACCAATTGTAGCGTGGCGTCGAGTTGAGGTTAACTATGAACACCGCTACCAAGAAACACGTGCCAAATAGATCAGAAGGCGTAAGAAGCTCGTTCCAAATGACTCCATAAAATCCCCGAGAAGCCGAATACCAGAAGGCAATTAATGGACCAAGTCGATGTTTATTTGCTGGCGATCTCGTGGCATCGAAAGGATACCGAGATCGTGCCAGGATACAAGCTTGGTTATAGAACGTAACCGAATCCGCGCGAAGTTACAATCAAAGTGTAAGTAGAAGAATGGAAGCACAAAATAGTTGTCATTAGCACAGTTAAACAAAAGCACATTAAAACAGTCACTGGTACACTTGGTTATAATAATAAGCGTTTTTATTAAACCAGTCGTGTTCTCGTGATAAACGTGAGTCACTACAAGACCATCCACTGAGTGAACATAATATAAATGGGATGTGTAAAATACAGATGTCAAAGAGCGATGACTTGTTAAAAGTAAACTTTGTCCCAACTACACTATTAAGTATCATTGCTTATTTAAATGAAATTGTTACAAAAAATATGAAGCTTTACCTGCTCTTCAACGTTTTCAAATTATTAACTGTAAATTTTTCGCCAGTTGTATCGTTTCGCTGACTTCCCTAATCAGACGAGTAGACAAGAGTCCTATTTCCGGTTTAAAACTATTGCACGGTCTTGTCTGTGAATGACAAATAACTTTTAATCTTCACAAGTCAAGATCAATAACTAAGTTTTTTGTAATATCTACACTTGTCCTTAATTATTCATTAGACGAATAACATACAGACATTTTATTTCAATCGCATATTTGTATTTAAATAGGTTATATTTTTTAATTAGTAATAATACATTTAGTCACATCATTAG